TGGTGGCGGTGGAGGTCTAGGTGGAGGTGCTGGTTCTGGTTTTGGTGGAGGTGCCGGTGCAGGTGGCGGTCTTGGAGGAGGAGGTGGTCTCGGAGGTGGTGGCGGTCTTGGAGGAGGAGGTGGTCTCGGAGGCGGTGGCGGTCTTGGAGGAGGAGGTGGTCTCGGAGGTGGTGGTGGTGGAGGTCTTGGTGGAGGTGGAGGTGCTGGTTCTGGCTTTGGTGGAGGTGCCGGTGCAGGAGGAGGTCTTGGAGGTGGAGGTGGCCTTGGAGGCGGAGGCGGCGGAGGGTTTGGAGGAGGTGGTGGAGGAGGACTAGGTGGTGGTTCTGGATTTGGAGGAGGTGCTGGAAGTGGTTTTGGTGGTGGATCTGGACTTGGAGGGGGTGCTGGTGGAGGAGGAGGAGGAGGTGGAGGTGGAGGTGGCGGTGGCGGTGGAGGTGGGTTGGGTGGAGGATCCGGTGGTGGATTTGGCGGAGGAGCTGGTGGTGGGATTGGAGGAGGTGGATTTCCTTGAAGCTCTTTAATTTGTTTGCTAGTTTCTACGTATAGTAAAAATCAAACGTTGTCGTTTAATAAACGTAGTCACTATATATATTTGCATGGAGTCATTTGTTTTACTATTGGTGTTTAATTTGTATTACAAATTATATATTTATGAAGACAATAGCTCTTCAATATATAATATTGTGTTGTGTATTTAAATTTATCTATCACAATTAAGATGATAAATTGTGTTATATGTAGTATTTCATTTTCATATATATTTTCCTTTTCCTTTATTTTTTGTCTAATAAATTAATGCTTTCATTTTCCATTTGGTAAAATAAAACAAAATTAATTTTTGGCTCTAAATTTAGTCACATCTTTAATTTTTGGTCTATTGCCACTAACAAATTAACTATTACCACTCTTAAGGGTGAAAGATGGAACGAAATTTCCAATTTCCGCCGATTCCCGAACAACTTTTTTCATTTCGATTTTCAAAATCCCAATTTTTGATATTTTCCAATATTTTTTATTGGAATTGGAATTATATAAAAAAAAATGGAATTTCTGATTTCTGATCCAATTTAATTTCTAAACTTAATTCAAAAATTTCAGATTTTTTTTTCCAAAAATATACCAATAATATAAATTGTGTTCCTATATATAGTTACAAAAACGATGGTGCATGATAATATAACGTGATGGTATATTGATAATAACGTGATGGTATGGTCTTCTATAATACTGCATACAAAACTGTTTTTTTAGTGTTAATAACGTGATATATGGTATGATCTCTAATACTGCATACAAAAAGTTTGATTGTTTAATCTTCAATATCTTTTTTAATCCATAAAAAGAAAAAAAAAAAAAACTTTAAATCAGGATTCCAACGAAACAAATATTGTATTTTCTCAAATTTTGCACTTATACTCTTAATTTATCGAAAAATAATTGATATATGGTGAAACAATTAATGAGAGAGAGTTTTATCGTTATTTTATTAGTGTGCATCAGCTCAAACCGACAAATAAAACTGGAAGAAGACCAATGTCTGTCGTAAAACTCATGTCTGTACTTTGTAGACAAACCAAAAATCTATGTATTGTTGGGACTAAGAAATTTTGTTGTAAACAAATTGCAAAATTCAGACAGTGCGTTGACTTAATTGAGTCAAAGCCAAGAAACTATTCAGCATTGCCCATTTTCCAATATGCGTGGTTATCAGAATCTTTGTATGATAGTCATATACTTAATTAATAACCCAGACAAGAATACAGTTAGATTCAGGGGGTTATAAATAATTAAATTTGCCCAAATCATCTAATATAAATACCCCCATACGTCTCTCAATTTAAACAAGATTTAACATTATTAATTCTCACAATGAAGATATCTGTTACTTGTATCCTTTTTCTCCTTTTTTGTGTCCTCTGTAACGCTATTCATGCTAGAACATTATTATCAGGTGAAGGCGGTATCTCCGAGAAGAAACTAGAAGATCATCCTGCGGATATTGGCGGCGAAGGAGGCGGCGGCGGTGGTGGATTCGGTGGAATTGGCGGCAGAGGACCAGGATTTGGTGCAGGTGTTGGCGGAGGTGGAGGCGGCAGTTTTGGCGCTGGGATTGATGTTAACATTGGGAGTGGTGGACTGGGGATAGATGCGGGGTTTGGCGGTGGCGTAGGTGGTGGTCTAGGTGGCGGTGGATACTTTGGAGGTGGCGGTGACAATGCAAGTGTGGGGCTGAGTGGTGTTAACAGGGCTGGCGGCGGCGGAGTGAATGGTGGATCTGGAGCGGTAACGCCGTGATGTCGAGCAGGAGTTGTGTTCGCAGTTTAACGATGATCAGTGATTGTAATATTAGCAGGCAATGTAATAAATAAGACCAACTCTTGAAGCTATCATTCTATGCATGTTTTATCAAGCTTATGAAAATATTTTCTATTTTCTTTTACTTTACTTTTTAAAGAAAATAATTTATAACTCAAAAAACTAATATAAGATCAATTTTATTATTTTTTTAATTTTCAAAATATATATAATTTTCGCATATATGTTCTTGTAGATGCTACACCTAATAAAATATGCAGGGTAGTTTTACATCGTAAATCCACACACAATTGCACACGCATAAATGTGAATCAGTGGATGTGTGCAAACTGGATAGTTAACAATACACGTGTATAGTGAAATCTTATCCGGACGCCTCAAGAGAATCGAACATATTCCATTTTGGTGAAAAAAAAAAAAAACTGTTTTTAATTTATTGATAAGAATAAGGAAAGTCGAGAGTTTACAGGAATAAAGTCGCATCACATGAACATCTACAACCGGAAACTTTCCGAAGTGCACTCATAATGGAGCATATAAATGTAGAAATAATACATCATACATTGGTATGTATAAAGATATGGTCGAAAACAAAAATGAAGTCAACCAAAGAAATCAAATCAAGACAAAGTTGTCTGCGGAAAATGAAAACAGTAGTACCTTGAGACACTGATTATATCTATCTCGAACGGGTTAAATTTCACAACTATGACAACCTAACTTCCACGCCTTCTTTTAGCAAGTGCTCTTTCACAGATTGAATAGGCACCTGCGAAACACATGAAACAATTAATATAACTAAATCAGCCAAAATAACACGAGAAATAACTGTCTAAATACATTGTATATCGGAATGTGATAGAAAGAAGTTTCTCATTATCTTTCTTGAAATTTTACCTCTTTACGGTGAAAAATACCAGCAGCAAGTGCAGCAGATGCGTTTGTTTTGGCGAAAACTTCGGAAAAATGTTCAGCGGAACCAGCACCGCTACTTGCTATCACAGGAATGCTGACAGCATCTGATATCAGGTTAATCAGGTCTATATCAAATCCTTTCCCTTGACCTGAGTTAAGAGAGACCGCGGTAAAATGGTGAGAAATTACGTCACATCTTCTTACAAAATAATTAGTGTAGTGTAACACAAATTGAAGTCAATTTTACATATTAAACGAAGAATGCACAAACACTATCGGGAAATTTGAAGTCAAAGCACATTAAAGCATACCATCACAGTCGATGCAGTTTAGGAGTATTTCTCCAGCCCCAAGTTCTTCCACAGCTTTAGCAAGCTCGTATGCTCCAATTGGTCGACCTTCTCGCCCACCATTCACCTACACAACAATCAGTAAAATAACAATTCAAGCATTCAAAATAATCTCGAAAAGGAAAAAGAAAAAAGTTATGATAAAAATCAGGAGGCCTTCAGTCCTTATATAAAGGTATAGGACTGGGGAGTATCAGATTACAAGACAGGACTAATGATTATCATATATCTAAATCTGCTGCTAGTACATATAAGATGAAACGAGCAGTGGCTGTTGATTAAGAAAGCGTGGAAATATTGCTTTATAGCAACAAATAAAGCAGCAAATACTTACTGTGCATTGGTACCATGCAAATTCCTCGCCATTAGGACCTGTAACCAAGAAAAAAAGCCCATTACGCACATATTTTGTACAAGTACCGTGTGCAAAAACATGCAAGACTACCTGTTTCAGAAAGCTACGTCATGCGAAGTAAAAGAATTGCTATTAATAAGTGGAAATCTTAAAAAAAGAAAGCTAAACAGAGTAGATTCACAAATCACTTATTTACCTGGTTTTGAAACTCTCACTGACTTGAGTTCTACATCATTGGGGTCCTTCAAGTATACCCGACGAGGGTCGATGCTTACAACCACAGCCTAAATTATGAAAAGATAGAACAATGAAGGATATTTGTGTTATGCAGAAAAAAAAAAACAAAAACAAAAAAAAGCGAAAATCTAGTTTGATGATAAACCTCACCTGGTTTCCATAAACTCTGGAGATTTGTTCTAGGCTGCTCTTTCCAGTTTTCACCTTAAAATAAAACCAAGCAACATAAAGTCTAGTACTCTAGTTACATACAATATACAGAAGATTTTTAAGAGATTAAGACGGGAGTACTTTGGTTTTTAAGTACTCCTCTGCAGCATAAACCGCATCGCTTCCAATAGAAACCTTGTCGGCACCCGATCGAAAATACTCCGCAGCAACTTCCAAACTCGAGTAGTACCTGTGAAGCATTTTCTCAATTAACACTCGAATCAATATGAATAAATCTATCACTAGAAAATTTTGTTGCAAAACTAAAGCCTGTATGTTTTTCTATGAACACGAGCAAAAAACTGTAGAGACAAGATATACATTTACCTGCCATTTCCATCAGTAAAGTCTCGAATACCGCCTCCAACTGTGAGTGGCACAAAGATATTCTCTGAAGCATATTGCAGTACCTACAAGAATATACAGGCAACTGTCAATATTTTTTTAATCTCCGACCGTTACTGCAAGAGCAACCATATTTTATTTTTCCAAGGTCAACACTAAATTGTAATGAAACAAAAGGAGTAGACAACACAAACTAGATACCAGTGCCTCAAAAGTCAAAACATTGTCCTACTATCCTATTCGCCAAAGCAAATGACAGTACATAGGAAGCTGCATTGAGAAACATATTATTATTATTAACATTACCAAGATAACAGACCTGCAGCATTGGTAAATCGCCTAGAGGGAAGTCACGGTAGCCAGTAATATTCAAAAAGCTGACCTGAAACACGTGAAAGAGAAAATCTAAGTTATCATTCCGTATAATTTAATAGCAGAATTCATCTAGGTTGTTCATTCTTTCTACGTCACTTCAATATTCTCATTTTGTTAGTGTATGAGTTCTACTGCGGGTTTGTCTTTATGTAGATGTTAGCAAATTCCGGTCAGATTGTTCAAGAGCAACATACCTCATCAGCGCCATCTTTGTAATATTGTCCAGCAAGTTCAACTGGCTTGCCGAGATTTCTCACCTTCAAGAAAAACAATCAATTAAAGTGGAGAAAAATGTGTAGAATAACAGCCAAAATAATACAACACAACCGAACTTCAAGCATGTATATATGGAAATACCTCATTTTCCTCGGTTTGCTCTCTTACATCGTATTGATCCCCCTTAGTTACAACTAGATCACCTTTGTCATTAGCCCTCACATCAAGACAGGCGATGACCTGAAAAATTGATAAAAAAGAAAGAGCCATGTTCATCTGTAAGAGAACAGTCGGGTACAAATAAGTTGGACGCTCTTATTCTCTGAAATAATTGTTTGCTAATTAATAATCAATTACACAAGTAATAAAGAAAAATATATTTGGTTCAAGGAGCCAGCCAATTATCTTTGAACGTTAAATATGGTGTAGAAATATCTTTCATGTATATTTTCTCACTTTCTCAAATATTAAGGTGAACTAAGGTTATTTTCTTTGCTCATGAAAAACCAGGTTAGAGCTAACAGAGTTGCTGATACATTATTACAGAGCAATTTTACCACTAACTACATTACTTACCCTCTTTGCAAGTTTAGACGCCTTTCCTTTGACTGGCACCTGTCTTCACATAAAGTATCAGCCTATTAGATTCCGTGGATTACTTGGAGAAACTGAATACAATATTCTGGTGATTGATACCTTTGCATTTTCGGACTTGGGGTACAAAAACCTTCTCAGAACAGAAAGCCCAACTTCTGCAAAACTCGTCTTCAAGAGTGTAAGCAATAAATAATTCCACTGTTGAAACAAAAGCAGACTACGAAAGATACATTTCAATTTCATCCCTTTTTGTTCTCCTAGAGGCTGAGATATATCCATATTTATTTCTAGTTTTGAGTGCAAAACATGTCAGAAACTCTTACCACCGCTCTTCTCTGGGTGAAACTGAACTGCATGGACATTTCCCCTTCTTACAGAAGCTATAAACTCATTCCCATAATTACAGACAGAAGACACCCATTCTTTGTTATCATCTGACTGCATAGCAATAAAGAAGGGAATTGGCAGTGTGAGAAAAGAAGTGTGAAACTGAATAAAACATGTCAATGATCAAGTTACGACAGAGGAGATAAATATACATTACCGGGATTGCACGATAAGAATGAACAAAATAGACATGCTGGCTTCCAATATCATCCAGAATCTGGGATTCTTTTTTCACTTTGATGGCATTCCAGCCAATATGAGGTACTCTGCAACCATTTGATGAGTCGAAACGTCCAACCACCCCAGGAATCAAACCGAGGCCTTTTACTGTAAAAAAAAATGTGAAGGAAATTGGTTTGACTATGAGAAGAGAAACATGACCGTATGCGACTTAGAGTCTTAGATTGAAAAATGCCTACTAGACACTAGTATTAAGATAATTAAAAGCATAGACTCGACTTCGGCAATTCAAAATGAACCAAATTCAACCAATAACTCAGTACAGCACTAGCCACATAAGTATACTTTTCGTGAGAAAACTAAGCAAATGAAGATGGGTATTAAATATTTTGGCAACACGTTGCCTACATGACAACAAAAGGAGTATCAAATTATTACCTGGTCCATTTTCCTCACTTGACTCAAAAAGCAGTTGCAACCCAAGACAAATGCCTAGAAAAGGGCGATCTTGTTCAATGTAAGCACAGAGCGCTTCAGCCAGCCTAAAAATATTCAGTGAATTAGTTTTCATTGGCATTATGCCGAACTTACAAATAGATGCTAGTTGGTTTCATTGGAAAAAGTACAACACTGACAGACAATTTCCAAACAGAACAGAGCAAAAAACCTACTGTCAGCAAATTTCAAGGCATATGCATACAAATTGGACAAAAATGCTGAAGAAATATCATCACACACAAAACTTAATCATATTCTGAAATGCATAAAGTGGAACGATAAATTGCAAATAAAGAAGCTTACCCCTTCTTGTTAAGAACATCCATGGCAGGTGCAAATGCACCTACACCAGGGAAAATAAGACGTTTGGCATTCAGAATATCTTCTGGCGATTGTACCTATAATGAAAACAATAAATATTAAAAGCAAATAAACCATATACAGCTTTAACTAGAACTTCTAGTTATTCAATTCTAATTCTCTTACAGAAACAACAACGAAAAAATGAATTCTATTCTCTTAAATCATTTCATGACTTCTCTTACATTCATATCAATTCAACATAAAAATCAATAGTTGGACCTGTAAATGGAGGCAGGATAGGAAATGCTAACAAACAAAACTTACATCTTTGATTTCGCATCCAAGAAAGCGAATTGCATTTCTGAGACTGCGCACATTTCCCGCTCCGTAATCAAGCAATGTCACCGCTGTTGGGAATTCAACAGAGAACCAAAATAAACCTCAGAAAAAAATCAATTGAAACCAGAACAGCAGAATACTGACTTTGAAATTTGTAATCAAACAGTCAGCCTGAACATTGCATTTCGTAAGTAGATATACATATATGCGTGCGTTTACAGTCACAAAAAAACACAAACGACAGACTCTCTCTCTCTCTCTCACACACACACACACATACATATACGTATATACTCAGGCATATAAATGCGTGTATATAAATGTTAGAGTACCACTGTACCAGAGTCATCTGAAGCAGAAGAAGCAGACGCGCGGATTGAGAAGGTTCGTGAAGGTTTGAAATTGAGAGGGTTTAATTGCGGGAAGTGCAGAGAATGGGAAGCGCCGGAGTAAGTGGAAGCGGATGAGGATGATGATCCTCCGGCAGAGAATTGTGGAGCAGAAGCGAACGCCGCCCCTTTCGCCGCCGCCATTTGGTTAGCCGCAATTTGTGCCACCCTCGTCTCAAATTTGGTCGTTAAATCAAGTCAGACTGCGCTTTCAGTGAGAATCATCAGTGGGCTTTCAATTCCATATGTTGACCCTCTTAAAACTAAAAGCAATGGGTCCATCAATAAATTGGGGAAGCCCAATAACTTAAGTTATGTTATGTTTGGCCCTGTTGTAAAATCTTTTCCACTATTCTCCCAAAATAAAATTATACTTGTTAAATTTTTTAAAATTAGATTTCAATTTTTTTTTAAATTAAGTTCGGATGTTTCTCTTTCTCTTTCATTCATACGCGATCTAGAATGTAAAATATCGCTTTAGTTTTAGAGGGTGTTTGGCTAAGCTTATAAGATGTTAAAAGGAGCTTATAAGATGTTTTAGAGCTTATAAGCTCTTCCAAAGTGTTTGGTAAATTTTTAGAAAAAGATCTTAATTTTTTTTAAAATAAGCTGTTGGAGAGCAAATAAGATCTTTTTAAATAAGTACATCTACCCCACCTTTTTATTTAAGATCTTTTAATGGGTAAAAATAGGAAATAAGCCCATTATCCAAACACTCTAAAAATTAATCCTAAAAATAAGATGTAAGAGCTTATCAGCTCTTAAAACATCTTATCAGACGTAAGAGCTTATCAGCTGTTTAAAATAAGCTTAGCCAAACACCCTCTTACTCGTATTCACTTCGACAGTAATTTTGACCATTTTCTAATCTAATTTTAGCAAAATTCAGAACACGGAATTTGTCATCTTTTGAGTTAGTTTTCTAATGCAATGTGAATCAGCTAGATTAGATGTCGTGTGATAAATTTATGCATGACTGAGTTACATTTTGAATTTTAGATAACTCAAAACATCATAGTTGTGGGCAACATTCATTGATTCATGCATACATTTCTAATTCGACATCCAATTTTGATGATTCAAGTTAAATTAGAAAGTTAACTCAAGAAACTACAAGTTAAGTAGATTCTGCAAAATTCAGACTTAAAATGGTCAAAATTACGTGCGGAGTCAAAACGGTATTATTAAAATTGAAACGACATTCATCACACCACATAAACAATTTGTCTCTAAATTACAATTTTTTTTATTTAAAATATAAAAAAATATCACTTTATTTTTCAAAATACTTTTCTTTCAACATATTTAGACAGAATTTGAAATTGTAATTGTTTTTTTTTTTTTTTCTAAAACTACAAATAAATATTATTTTATTATTTCTTAAAATCTTAAAAGTCGAATTTCAAAAAAAGAAAAAAAATTCTTAAAAGTCAAACCCTTGTTCCATATTCGAAATAAAAATAACACCCAAACATGGCCTAATCCCTATGTTAGCTTAGATTGAAAGAAGAGAATTTCAAATGCTTTTTTCGGCAAGGGGCCAGCCACTGCCACGTGTCCATCCCTGATTCTTTTCTTCGTCCAATTAATTTCCATTTGCCACCCGTCCTTCAAAACTCAATTTCACCCCACATCGAAACCATCTTTTTTTTTTCTGATCACCTGAACACAGCAAGCAAACCCTAGAAATCGCATCTGAAATTCCAGAGAAAAAATCCGCAGTCTCGGCACGATGATTCAGCCTCTGTACGCCCTGGTGTTCGGAGAAGTGGCGGTGATTCTGGTTCTTCTCTTCCGGACGCCGCTGAGAAAGCCGCTTCTGATTCTACTGGACCGGCTGAAGCAGGGCAGGGGACCGGTGGTCGCCACCACCGCCGGCGGGACCTTGTTTGTGATAATGGTGTCCCTATTGTACAACATCACCACTATTCAGAACCGATCTCTCGAAGCTGGCGGCGTTAATCCGACGGACCAGGTTCTCTTGGCCAATCAGCTTCTGGAAGCTTCTCTTTTGGGTAAAATCACTCTTCTTTCCCTTGATCCTTTTGTCTCAGCCAATTTTAATTAAAGTCAATAAACAAAATGATTGGATCATTATGATTTTCCTTTTTGTTAAATATCAATATGTTATATTCACAAAGTGCATTTGAATTTTATATAAATGAAAATAGAGCACTAATGTAATTTGATATTGATATTGATGTTATTTATTAGGAAATTCATCTAACTATTATATGAATCATTTGATGATTTCGTATTACTTTATATCAGCATTTCTAGATACTAAAAATCCCCGATATGTTGAGAAGCTAAATTTTCAATTGATGAGTGCAGGTTTTGCTCTGTTCTTGGCTTTGATGATCGACAGAATCCATTACTACATCAGAGAGGTTCGCATGCTGAGGAAGCATATGGAAGCTATAAAGAAGTCGGATCAAGAGTCGGAGGAATTGAAGATCAAGGACAAGGGTAAGAACAAAGTTGTTGAGGATGATGACTAAATTTAACACTAAGCTTGATAAGGAATACACTGGAGAACGAGGTCAATAAATCGGCATTTTTATTTGTATTGATCAGGAATGTTGGTGGGAAGACAACTAATTTGGGGGGAATTTTATTTCGTTTTAATTATTATGACAATGACGATTTGCTGATTTTTTTGTGCGTGCCTAAATTCTTTTGATTGCATATATGGTTTTAGTATATGCTATTGCATTAAATATGATTAATGGAGTGATGCATGTTGGGATGAAAAATCGGAGTTTTGTGTTGCATTGCCATGGGGATAATATTTGGTCTTAAAGGGTAAATATGTCCAGTCAGAAATTAGAAATTATGCTCTGGCATATATTTGATTCTAAGGGTTAAAGCAAAACAAGGTATACAGTATACATACACAAGGCATAGTAGGCGTAAGTTTTAAAATCCCTTCGATGTAGAACTGCTGTGGAGATCATTGTCTCCATTTATCTTTTGCCCTTGGTGAGTACCGACCTGGCTTTTGCACTTGATAAGGTTTAATAGGAACTGTAATTCGGTTGTTTGGTTCATCAGTCCTTGTTTGGTTGGTAAGATAAACCATGATCAATCATGTGAAATTATGAGTCCTTGTCTTCGATTATTAGGAAAATGTGTATTTTTCACTTGTGCAATTTGGCTTTGCGCAGAAATAATTCTGTCAATTTGACAGTTCATTTAACATATAACCGAAGGTGGATAACATATGGATCAAGAATTAACCTATTACTTGTGTGATTTTGGCATATCATTACATTTTCTTGATAACTACTGCGGCATTTAGACACAGATGTTTACTGTTTCTGAAATGTTCCGATTTCTTCAATGTTTTTTTTTTGGTTGTATAAAACGTACATGCTTACAAAATGCAAATAGGCATAGAGGAGCATATATGGTATAATGCTTGAGATATTTTCTAACAAAAAAGAGAAGATTCATATGTGAGCGCACTAAGACTGGTTGTATGTGAGTCAATCTATGGGATGAAATGAAGTCATTATTGAGTGAGTGGAATTCCCATGTGAAGAAGTGATGCTTTTGTGTGTGCTCCCGCTCCCCAATTAAAGGCAACATAGGGTTTGAATTTTTACTCCGTGGATTTCACCGAGTGTAATTTAACAATACACGTGTATTGTCTAATATCTACTTTACATACATCTACATTTATGTGTGTAATAGTGTGTAAATCTGCGATGTAAAACCACATGGTGAATCTCAATAGGCAGTGAAGAAGAAAAAAAAAAAGAAAAGAAAAAAACCAAAGAGGCGGAGCTGAAATTCGGGCTCCTCTCCGCTAAAGTTTTTCAAGAAGAGAAGTTAAAACGAATGAGTGAGCATTGACATAGCTACTATACTCTACAGTGTCATCTAAAGTTGCAGGGTACTTTGGTCTGAATCGACCCGAGGATAAGTATTCCTTCTTGTTTTAGCTTTTTTCGGTAAGCACTTTGGCTTTAGGGAAAAAGCTACTCTGTTTAATGCCCAAAGATGAAAGCAAAGGGTATGTCGGTTTCGGTTATTACTTATTACAGTCTTGTAAATCACAATCTTGTTGGCTAATTTCCACGTTTCGAATGTCAAAACCGGTGGTAATTTTGCTTCACGCCTAGATCACTAAAATCTTGTCAAGCATTTCAGCATAATATGTTTGATAGTGAGGTAAAATTTCAAATTCTTTCATTTGCTGAAATTTACATGTTTCACAAAGTTCATCATGCTCCAATCGACGTGCGATGAACTTCGCCCAAATTGACCGCTTCTACGGTTTCTACGGTTGGGAAACTGGGAATCGGTTGTTCCGTAGGAAGAATATTATTATAATTATAATATTCATAAAAATTTAAAAATAAAAATAAAAAACAAAACGGGTTCGTTTTGTCATAAGTCGCAACATCTCCACCTTACACAACTTCCCTTTTTTTCTTAACCCCCCACATTCAAACACCTACAAAATACAAATGATCTAGTATATCTCTAACTAATAGATTTGAATAGTTCTTGATTCTTGATCCAACTACTAACTAATCCAAGTCTTGTACTAACACCCAAACTTTATTTGAAAATATCAAAGGTGGGCTCGTCTGTGCTGATGACTTAGTTTTTTTTTCAACTATGTATCAAGTCTTTTTTATTATTGACAAAAAATCATTTTAAAATAAAAGAAGGGTTGACTTCCAAAAGCACAAACATTTTGACACTTCCATTTTCTCACCTGCTTCTCGAAGTCTTCCATGTTCACACTGATTGTCTGAACACAGGCCACGCGTTGGCTATTTTTACCAACTCCATCAACATTTACTTGTTCACATTTCACACATAGTCAACCCGACCGGGTCTAATCCTTTCAGTTCATTAGCGTAGCCAAGATTTTTTTTATATTTTCATGTAAATAATAGAGATTTGAGAAATGTTAAGAGGGGCCGTGGCCCCCCGACTCTATGCTGGCTCCATCAACTTCCCTTCACCGTTTATTGTGACCGGATTCTCCATCCAACACCGCTCAAACACTAATAAACCGATTTTCCTTTTTTCTTTTTTTCTTTTGGCAAAACTTAGTAAATGAAAAGAGAATCTTGTGTGTTTATGAATAGCTTGTATGAGATCCAAAGTCCCCAATCCCACATGGCCCAATCATTGTTTAAACTTTCTAGTATTTTCAGATTTTACTACCAATCAAAGCACCTCGAGGATGAGCTATTTTTTATGTCATCACGCATAAAAAAAATAATAATAATAAATAATAATAATCAAATTTATTTGGCATACATCTTTTATCTAGTTTCATTAACTTCGAATCAAGACAAACATATTGCAGCATTTAGTTTCTAAGTTACTTATTAATGGATTGTTGACTGTTACTTTTTTTTTTTTTTGAAACATAGATAAAAATATTTACCCGATCTTCAAAATTAAACAAGCAATCAAGAACAATGCCTGGAAAGAAAATACAGGAGAGAGAGAGAGAGAGAGAGAGAGAGAGAGAGAGAGAGAGAGAGAGAGAGAGAGAGAGAATTGAGCTGAATATATCAGAAAAAGATTCATAACCATTTCAGTTGTTGATACAGAATCATCATCTTTCCAACTCTCACAAAGAATAACTTCAAAACTACTAATTAAATCATTAACACTAATTTCATCATTAACATAACTAATTAACAATGAATCTTCGATGGCGATTGAAGTTTGAGTCACCCCTTCTTCATCGACCAAGCTCTCGTTATCTTGGTTCGTCTCTTCAATTTGCTGTTGATCAATCGTCGAACAATATTCTTCGAGTTTATCTCCCCTTACAGTCACCCAATCTCCCTCATCCGTCCACTCGGGGAAATTCAAATTCCAAGAAAATTCATCCCCGATCAAATCCATGATCCGACCCGCCGGAGAATTTTCCGGCGACATTGCAAAATCCGTCGGATTCGGAGAAGGATCGGAAACCTCCACAGCATCCCAAAAGCCTTGATCCATTACACTCGTCGGAGATTTCCTAGCGAACTCTGTGTTCTTCTTCCCCACGGAATCGAAAAAGGGATGCAGTAAGAGCTCAGCTGCAGTCCACCGTTCTCTGGGGTCCCTCATCAAACACCTGGCGACAAAATCCTTACCGGTGCCGGAAAACCAGTCTGGAACTTCAGGCGTGTCGCCGGAGTAAGCAACTCTGTACAGAGCTGACGCGGGGTCCTTCATCTCCGGCCAGGGGTTAGATCCCGTCGCCATTTCGATGACCGTGCACCCCAAAGCCCATATGTCCGCCGGAAAGCTCTGCTCCTCGCCGCGCGCGACTTCCGGAGCCATGTACGCCGGCGTTCCGGCAAATTTCGTTGCGGAGCCGCCGCCGCACTCCGCCCACTTCGCGCATCCGAAATCCGCGATCTTCAGGCCGCCGTCGGCGGCGATCAGTACGTTCTGCCCCTTGACGTCGCAGTGCGCCATTCCCTTGAGGTGGAGATAATCCAACCCCAGCAGCATTTGCCGCGCGTAGAACTGAATCGCCTCCTCCTCCAGAGAACCGCCGTGGTTCCTGATCAGATCGGAAAGCGTGCCGCCGGGAACGTACTCCAAGAAAAGATTGTAAACGTGCCCGTCACCTCTCTCGCACGTGACGTCGGAGCCGAAGCACTTGACAACAAAAGGGGAGCAGAGCTGAGAAAGCAAGCACTGCTCGTTCTCCAGCAACGCGGAACAAGAAACATCAGCTGATTTAACAGCAAATAGATCACAGCCGCCGTCGGCGGCGGCGGCGGTGGTGGCGAGAGACACCACGGCGGAGGAACCCCGGCCTAATATGGGACCCCTTTTCCACTCCATAGAGAAGAGAGAGAGAGAGAGAGAGAGAAAAGAAATTGTTTGTGTTTGAAGTGTTGGAGCGGTAGAGAGAAGGTTGGAAGTATATTTATATGAGGAAAAATGTAATTACTGTAGATGTGAACAGTTATAACATGGACTATTTATTTATTTATTTATTTCTCTTTTTGTAGGTGTTTATGCACAGAGAATCTTCTTTGAGTATTCCTCCTCTCCTCGGCAATATACTTTTCAATTTTCATATATCTAATTATTCATTTATACTTAGGATAAATTACGGTCAACCCCGTAAGATAAATTTAGATTACGAAAAAAACTTCTTATGTTTGGATAACTACAGACATCATCCTCAATTATGAATCTTTTTATATGTTTACTTTTATAGTGTCAAATTTAATAGAATCTTCTAGATTATATGGAATATTCCCCACTTTGTATTCATTTTACCACATTGAAGCTCTACATTTTGAAACAATATGATCATAAAATGTGTCTCTTGATTTCTAAATATCATCTTATGGTGCATCGGAAACTACATTTTTGCACAAACTGGAGAATTTTCCACATAATCTAGAAAATTCCAATAAATTTAACACCATAAAAATGGATGTGTAAGAAAATTCATTGTTGAATGTGTGGTTGTAATTACCCAAATAAAAAGATTTTTTTTTTTTTATAATTTGACATTATCTCTGGGTGGTTGTGATTTATCGAAAATTAAATGATGTGATTAAAAAAAAATTAATATTTGAGAGAGTTTTTTTTGGCTAGAGTTATTTATTATATTAAGTGCCGGTTTAGTATTTGAAGGCAAAGACTAATTTGTTTTTCAAACTTTACCAAGAACATTAATGTTCAATTAATGAAGTTACGTATAAAAAATGAAAAATCAGACGGGGATAATTTTGTCAAATAAGAATTTTTTTCCTCCTCAAATTAAATATATTTAATATTTTTCTAATGGTTGTTAATCAATCTTAAGCAATGCTTAAAAAGAAACCGACGAATTATAGAATAAGACTACTTTATATCTTTCTTAATCTTAATTTATTTGTTGGAAGTAATTAAGATTAGGAGGTATAGAATACTTGAGGTGGGAGAGAGCCACGTGGCGAGAGGAGAGAGGGCAAAGAGAATCGGCCGACGGTGAGCGGCGCGTTTAGCTTAAGTATGAAAAAGAAGCCGTCCCACATGATGGCACGTGAGCACGTGCCACTGGCCGCCGCTATCATCGCTGCTGCTTCTACTACTACTACGCAATCACGAACCGGGCAACCCAAACAAACCGTTTTTTTCTATTTTTTTTTTTTATTTTTTATTTTATGGTTTTTTTTAATTAAAAAAAAAAAAACAATTGCGGCGGTCTTTAAATATCTCATTTGTTTCGGATTATGCTAGGTACAACTACCAAGGACACTCGACTTTGCAACACGGTTATTAATGAATTTGACAGCAACGAGAAAATGACTTTTTCTATTTTTTTTTTTTTTAATTTAGGTTGTAAATAATAATGATTATTAAAAATAAAAGAAAAAGGGGGACAAAAAAATGGGATTTTCACATGATTTGATATTTATTGTGTTGAAATGGTGAGTAGAGCAATGGGACAGAAGAGATTGAGCTGGATGAGGAACAACAAATTAAAATTTTTAATTGTGTATTTATTTCACTGTTTGCCGGCAAAACAATGCTTCTCTATAATTAGCTGGACGATCGAATACCACGAGATATATATATATATATATATATCACAAATTAAATAAAGTTCTTTGTTTTTTAATAGCACGAGTTAAAAGGTGAATTCAGAGATTGAAAATATATTATGTTTAGTCTCAATATTTTTTTCTAATTATCATGCTCGTATTCATTTTGTATAGTCCTGGTGCTGCTTATTGAAAAATCCGGTTCGAACCCGGACCTGCCTCCCCGCGTGTCAATTCCGGCCTCCCTATTACTCGAACCCGGCCCGACTGAATTCTATAGTACTCAATCGGTTTCATAATAACTGTTTTGTTTTTTAATATTTTATTCCACACTATCTCTCACTTTAAATTTTCTAATATTGCATTAATTACTTAATTTTCAGTTTATATCATTATTAACACTTTTAAATGATCTTTTTTTAATTCATTTCTCTGTCTTATTAATTATAAGATAATGTTATTTTAGTCTAAAAACATATATTTTTCATAAAATCAAGACACGTTTAATGAAATCCTTAATCCGTATGCAAAGCTAAAAACGACTATTAAAAGGTAACAAATGGAGTATGAAATTGAAAAATGTTGACAAAAGATAAATAAATTTGAGAAGTAGGGAGTATTAATTACTAATTGGGCAACAAGATAAATAGATATTTAGTTGGACGTTTGAGAAGTAGTCCTAATAAGTAAAAGGAGTCCCTCTGTATTTATTAGGCACTTAATTAAGCTTACCATCCGCAATTAATATAATTAATGATAAAAGTGAAACTTTAAATGAGGTAGGCATCAAAAGGAGTAAATGCAGGATTAAAGTATGTTGTCCGAACAATTAATCAAAGAGTCAATACAAAACAAGTTGATGTGAATGCAGTTACGAGGTGGCACATGGTTCAAACACACCTTCTTGCACTGAGTTTGTGACTCGTTCACTAGCCACGTTATATTTCACATCTTCTCACATGTTTTACGTTTTTCATTATTTTTCAAACCAAACTAACCCTCTCATGAAATAGTATTATGTTTAAATGCAATTGACAGGTAAACAGGTTGTTAATTAGCCATCAATTTTGTGACTAGCTCTCCTTAGCTACTAGCTAGGGCCTAGGCGTTTATGTACGCTCGTTGAATTTCACTGAATTGTATCGTATTATACACGTGTGTAAATATATTCGCGTAAATTAAAGATTGAAAAACGATAATTGGTGTTGAGGGTATAGGAAATCATAACGGGATTTTCATTTTTATTTTTAACTTTATTCTTAGTCCGATTTTAGTTTCGAAAGTAATTTTATATTTATTTATATGAAATATGTATATGTATAATATTATGGGTGAAAATCATAATAACATTTATGAACAATCCAATAATCCAGATGGAAATTGAGTGGAATGTTTTTTACATGGTACAACTCTTTTTTTCTTATTTTGTTTCCATTGATTTTCGTAACACGGGTGCTAAAATTCAATGCCATAAATATTTTGAAAGAGGAGCCTGGTGAAATTGAGAAGTGATTGAAGAAAGGTCATAAATTGCGGCCAAATAACAAATCACCTTATTTATTGTGAGGGACTAATTCAATAATAAAGATGGTTTTGCACACGTTACATGAAATACATCGGGTGATCCTACACCATTAATCCGCACATAATAATATACACACACACTCATGTGTATGCAGGGGCGGATCCAGAGGGTTTTGGGTGGGGGGCAAAAAAAAGGTTTTGGGGTAAAATGGTATAAAATTTTAACTTTGGAGAGCTAAAGTGTATAAATGAATACATAAATAACCAAAATATTAAAAAAAAAAAAAAAAAAAAAAAATTCTGCAGGGGCGGGCCCCCCAACACAAGCCTTGGGTCCGCCCCTGTGTATGTATGTATATTGGTGGATAGTTATTTGTATAGGATTTATCGCGTAAAATCATCGAATAATTTTCACCAAATATAGCATCTCGTAGACTTAATAAAACTGGGCGCTGGACCAAAGGTGAAAAAAATATATATAGATATATATCCAAGTGGGGAAGGAACAAATTAAAGAAAGGTAGCAAAGGAGGTTGCAACAACCATTCATAAAGTAAGATTCCTCGGCTAATTTTAAATTTAAAAAAAGAAAAGAAAAAAAAAAAAAAACAAGGCAACCGCCCAACTATTTTTCGCAGGAAAAGGTTGTATAGTGGGCGTTAACAGTTAAATGATGATCCTTGTGCTTAAAGTAATGGTAGGCGGTGATACTCATTACCTTAAAATCCAGGTTTTCTCAATGCATGTGTACCCCTCAAGCAAACCCAAACACAAAATTAAAAATAATATATTAAAAAAATGCATATCTCATACTTACTTAAATTGATATTTTATTCAAAATATTAAGACTAATAAAATAAAATAAACATAGCTGCAAATGTAGGATTGAAGAAACGAAGAAAAAACAAAGTGTGAATTAGCTAGCTCTTTTTGGTATGATGGATTTCCTTTTGTGGAATAATTCCCCAACTTTTCGTTTCTTTCGGTTATTGTATGCAACTGATTTGCACACTTGAAGAAAGGGACAATTTGGTTTTCATAATTCCTTACTTCCAAGTTCAGATTTATATTTCCTCATCACATTCAATTCTTTACCAAATAACTAATTCTTGTCAGGTCATCGTTGTCAGGTCATCGATAGCCTCTCGACCCATCCAAGTAGTTATCTTGCCTTAAGTTTTCTTTGTTTTCTTTTTTAAATATGCAAGTGAAGTAATAAATTTAATTAACTAGTAAATGTAATCATATCAAATTAGTCCCATCCAAGTAGTTATCTTGCCTAAGTTTTCTTTTTTAAATATGCAAGTGAAGTAATAAATTTAATTAACTTGTAAATGTAATCATATCAAATTAGTTCAGATGATAAATTTGATAAATACACAAAGCACAATAAAAAAATCCACTCAAGAAAAGATTATGGTCACTCAAGAAAAGATTATGGTCGTTATAAATTCTATATCCTGAAGAAAAAAATTATATTTGAGAGGAGAGTGATTGCTCGTTGAATGACTCCAAATCATCTCAGCCATCCAACATGAAGATTTTTTGTTCTTTAACCGAGGGACACTGTAATATGCTTGCATATCGGTCACGGACTTGAACTTCAGATCAAATAAGCTAAGAATACTTCATTATTTGGATTTTTGGGTGATTTACAAATGAACGAGCTACCCCTATTTATACAACTACAGCTCCGCAATGACAACAATAGTGGTCAACTTGATATAATGGCTAGGAGATGTTTTCTAGAACACTCCATGGTTTCCTACGAAATATTAACTTACGAGTCTAGGAAATTTTCTAAAATCCTCAAAAGATCTCTACAAATGACTTGTTTGATGATTAAACTTAGCCCTTGGCTCCATGGAAAAATGGCAAGTGTTAGGTCCAAAATAAGTTGTCCCTAACAGCATTCTCTAGCTCTTCTCCCATCTGATTTGAATCAGATTTTATATGCCTAATGTAATTTACTTAAATAGTTTTTAAAACCCTTTTCACCAAAGAAATGACTAAATAATCAAAAAAAAAAAATTATATGAGGGGATAAGTAATGAAGAATTGAAGATCATAAAAAATTAAAAAATAAACTTGCCTCAACATAATCACATGTATGTAGGTTCTAGCTTTGATTTATTGAATAAGTCGTTCATCAAAATTTAAACGTCAATATTATTATAATTCAAACCTCTTGTATATTTTTATGTATGTTGGATCACTAGGTAACCATGCCAAAATCAAAACAAAAAGCTCTTATTTCCCAATATCCCTCATATTACTCTCCGGCGAACTTATTCGATCATCACTGCCATCGCTATTTGCGCGAGCGCTGCCTATAATGGAGCTTATTGCCGCCGCCAGTGCCGCGCTGAAATTAGGGTCTGCGGCAATTGCCGCCGCTGTTGCAGCATTCATAATCTCTTGTGTTTGATGACTCTGAAATGGGGCATGAAACATGGGCTGAGGGGCGGCGGTGGAGGCGGAGGCGGGGTTATTGTTCGTAAGATCCAATGTGATGGTCGGAAATGGCGCGGAGGCAGATATCGTGGCCAAATTCTGTGAATAATAAGGCGGCACATTGATTGAGTTGTGCATTAATAATCCGTCTGCACTGGTCATTGACCCCGACAACAATGTGGTGGCGGCGGCGGCTGTGGTGGACGCCATAGCCATAGCTGCCGGCGGTAGCGGGTGGCTGTGCCGCCCTTCGTATGTGGTTATAAGTACCGACTGGTCTTCCGCACACCTTTGCACCTGTGCACGAACACATGAATTAATTAGTTAAAGGCTCGTTTACTATTAGGTTCTACTGACTAAATAGTAGTGGCTAGTGTAAGCTGTTCGTGTGACAATATTCGTACTTAATAACCAAAAAAATAACAAATTTAATAGAAGATTTAATCTAAGAAATTGAATATCTTACTAACTAAATATTTATTAGTCGGTACGAAATATGAATTAATTAAATCTCATCTCTAATCCAAACTAATTCAATATAGGGAACCGAACATTAATTAACGATGTATCGAAATGATTATGAGGGATTAAATTAGGGTTTGATTGATAACAAAAAAGGTCAAAGAAAAAGTCACACTTGTTTACGAACTGGACAACCGGCGGCCATCGTACACCGGTAATAAGCTCTCGTAATCATTTCGATACATCGTTAATTAATATTCGGTTCCCTATATTAGGGTTTGATTGATAATAAAAAAAAAGTCAAAGAAAAAGTCATACTTGTTTACGAACCGGACAGCCGGCGGCCATCGTACACCGGTAATAAGCTCTAGGGCATGGGTTTCCCTTCGCCATTTTCTGCCCGTATTTTCGCCACTGGCATCCATCCGAAATCTACACGCAAATTTCAAATCAATAAAAAAATAAAATCCTTCCTTTTTTTCTTCTTTACAATTTTTTCTTCTGAATTAGGTAAGAATGCTGATATTGTTGACTGACTGCATTATAACCAAGTCAAGAAATTTAGGGTTTAATTTTCTGCATATCCATTTGCATTTGAGTAATTGGAGCTAAACACACACATACACACACAATTCATGTTTGAGTACTGTACCATCTGTGCTTCTGACCGGGCCCGAACAGAAACACGGGCTTTTTTCATGACTGCTTCTGCAGCTTTGTGTCGATCAACATCCTTTTCAGGATCAGTTTCGGGCTCCACCATCTTTTCCGGGCTTTCTGCCCCTATTTTTTTCTGCAAATTGATCACGGGCTTACAAATCAAATCAGAAAAGAAAAAAAGTGAATAAATTATACATATAAGAAAGTGATCAAATTAAATTAAAAAAATAAACCTTGTGATGATGTTCTGATTTATTTGGAGCTTCATCATTAGGGTTTTGTTTATGATGTAAGAGTGAGATGATATGCATCTTCAAGGAATGATATTTGTCGTTTGCTTGATTTAGGGTTTCTCGTAACCGCTCGTTTTCCGTGTTTACCCGATCAAGCTCCGCCTTCATCAGTAGTACAAACTGCACCCCAATTACCAATACTACTCATTACAAGATCAGTCACCAAAACTGGATATAACATATATTAATCCACAAATTAATTAATATATTTATTTAGAATAAATATATATATTGATCTTACTTCTGAATTTGGTGATCTATTAGTAGTATCCACTTTGGGTTTGTCAATGACACTTGTGTTGGTTGTCAACAGATTCAAACCAGTCTACATAAACAAAACATACCCGAAAATTAAATAAAAGCACACTAAAAATAGTATAAATTAGAAAATGATGAAGAAAAATATATTAAGTGTATATACATACGTTTATATGTTGTTGATGATTCTCTTGTTCAGTTTCAGCAGCGTCGAACATTTCAACGTTGGAAGTCCCGTCGTTCTTATCGGCGAAGAAATCCATTTCGTAGATAACCCTTTTCTCGCCATGATCAAACGCTGCGTTTTCCATAATTATTCCATCAAACCCCATTAATTATATGATCAACATGCACTACACTCAGATCTCACTAATTTATGTATTATATATGATCTGGTCTGCCCGGAAAAGAAAGAAAAAGGAGAAAATAAAATGATCAAAAACACATCAAACGAGTTCTCTAAGAGTGTGTTTTTTGTGTGTGTGTTTGGTCTTCGGAGTCTAATGTGAAAAGGATATGAGAAATGGGAAACGTGTGAAGCATAGGAATAATAATTAAGTAATTAAATAAATAAAATAAGAAAGAAGGTTTGAAGAATATATGTAGTAAAAGGAGTAGTGAGGTAAGATGGTGCGTAGAGTGTACAGGTGGCGTTGCGGTGGGGTGGGAGGAAGTGAGTTTGACTTGTTCTGAATCCGCCAACTGCGATTGGAGCGGCGGTTTTACATGTGAGAAGTTGAAGGAAGAGGAGGCGAAAGAGCGAGTCAACCATTTTTACAAATACTATTAACTTTTTTTTTTTTTTTTTCTTTTTTATCCCTTTGTCAAAAGTCAAAACTCTAATTAATAATACCCTTCAACATATTCCCTATAATTTTGTGCTTTGAGTACAGGTGTTGAAATTTGAACCGGATTTTCAAATTCCGTCGATTTCGATCCGGAAACTTCTGATTTTGAATAATATTTTTCATTATGAATTTTGTAAGTTCATATATATCTCCGGTGTTTTCGAACTTATTTTGATCATGGAATTGAAATTTTGGAATAAGTGTTAGATTTTGATTTCTGTTTTAATTTTTAATTTTCATTTGGATCCGAAGATTTTTTATTTTGAACAATATTTTTCATCATAGATTGTGAAAATTCATATATATATTTCCAGTATTTTCAAAACTTTTTTTTTACATGGAGTTGAAAATTTGGACCAATAGACTCAGCACTCTTTGAACAAAATTATAGGGAACAATGATTGGTCTAAAATTTGCGAGTCTAGGATTTTGTTACATGATGAATCCAAATTTGCAAGGGCTCCGAGGTTAGCGCCCCCGATAAAAATTTAGAACTTTTTTTTATAAAACCAGAAGATATGAAAATAAATTTTTTTTATGACTTTTTATAAATTAATTTAGATTTTTTTAGAATTAAATAAATATATAGGTATAATATAGTGGATCGTTTTTCAATTATTGTGTACTCGCCCTTGATTCCAAGCCACAATTCATAAGTTTGTCATCCAACTTATTGGATTCATTTATTATTTTCTTTGTTCACTTCAATTAAAAATAATTAATTTTATTTTTTATATAAAAATAAAATGTTAAAAATTACATGAGCAATACAAAGATAATAAATTATACTGCATTAAATGGATTTTTCTTGTTTTAACCTTATTAATGAAGCTCTATTCATTAATTTTCTCTTATAAATCATTAAATAATAAAGGTTGTTTTAGTCATTTTTATATGATTTTTCTAAAATCAAGATATATTTATTTAGTTTCTTAATTCTTGTGAAAAGTGAAAAGTGACAATTATTTAGGAACGGAGGAAGTATATACTATATAATACGAAAAGAAATTAATATTTGAGGAGGGGTACATAGCCACCTTTAGCCCTAGACTGGCTTCCACACCGCTATTAAGAACTTTCAAAAGAATATACTCTCCCATCCCAATATAGTAATCTCAAAATCAAAAGATTAATATATATATATATATATATATATATATATATATATATATATATATATATATATATATATATATATATATATTATGCGTTTTAAGTCTTTTCAACTCTATGACGTGATAAACATGAAGTCAACCAATTAATAGGTGGAGACTTTTTCTCATGTGGGGGCCACACTCCGATAGTCTTCAATTGAATAAGGGAGGTGATATTCGCGGTAGCAAAATTACGAATGCGGGTTTAAAAAAATCCACTCTCTACTTTCTTTCTCTCTCTACAATTTTAGCTTTTATATTAGAAATCATTCCAAAACACATGTTATTGTAGCCATTTGAAAAAAAAAAAGAGTGCATCGAATGAGGATCGAGATACGGAATCCAACGAGGTAAAATTTGTTCGTTTTTGTTCTTTAAATCGCGAAAACAAGACCCACGACCAAACTGGGAGCTAAAAAGTCCGATTCACGCCCGGTTTGGGCGCGTAAAAGTGTTATCCGCGCCCGATTTGGGCGCCCAACACAGCTTTCGGCGCCCGGTTTGGGCGCGCTCTGTGACTGAGATTTAATAAAAAAAATTACATATTTATGTTGGCACAAGGATTCGAACACGGGACATTATTTTAAAAACACAGGCTTACCTAACCAACAAGGCTAGAGCCATTTTGACAATAAATTATTATTGAATTGTATTTATAGACTTCGTTATACTTCGCAAAAAAGTAATAAATATACGCTGCAGGAAAGACTCGATCACGGGTCTATTGCGAAAAAACGAGATGCCTGACCAACTAGGCCAGAGCAAGTTCATTAACTGATAATTATTTAAATATATTATATCATGTCATTTATACAGGGATAAAAAAAAAAATTGAACCGGACGACCGGTCCAGAACCGGCGTCCGGACCGAACGCCCAAACCAATTTTCCGCGCCCAAAACAGGCGTGTGAAAGCAGTTTCCACGCCTGTTTTAGGCGTGAAAACTGCTTTCACACTCCCATTTTGGGCGTGGAAGATGCGCAGTTTTTATTCAAAATTGACCCCCAAATCGCGATTTTTCTTCGATTTTCATATAATTAACAACAAATTCAATATATATAACTAGTTTAGATGAGTAATTACCTTTCAAATTGAGGAGATTTTCGGATTTGGAAGGATTGTGAGAAGGATTTAGGATTTTTGTGAAATTTGGGGTTTTTTTGTGGTTTTGGGGTTTGAGTGAATTGGGGAGTTTTTAGAGAGAGAAAGGAAATGTATTGTGAACGACATTCGTAATTTTACTGCCGCGTAAATCATTTCAGATTGAATAACCCCTTATCATAAGTCTCGGAAAAGTAATCATGGCATGCACATAATTGCATGCATTTTGCACATACACACGCTCTGTCTCACACAATCATATATTAAATAAATATATAAAATTGAATTTCGTAAATAAATGAAATCAAATTCTTATGACAATTAAAAGGTAATTATTACTGGGTGAGGGAAATAAAGTCTTGTAGTTGAACAATGGATCAGGTTCTGGAACGAGGACGGAAAAAGTGAAGCCCTGATGTTGACAATGGTAAGGAAATGGAAGAGACCAACATTATTTGTCTTAAAGACTTTCCTCTCAATTTAGAATTAATTATATGAATATATATAGTCCAACCTCGATAAATTGATAACCTCGTTTAATTAAATGAATCATTTTTCAATGCTCAAGTAATTGATTTAATTGATAAAAAATGTTGGTTTTTAGGAAAATAACGCCTCAAAGTTACTTATTCAAATTTTACATTGTTTCAATCTCGTTCTCGATTTATTTATTTTTTCAAATATAAAACCTTCAAAGTAGAATGCAGAAATTTGTCACCTGTACTCAAGCAAGACTTGGCAATTTCCATCAATTTTGAGCATGCTTCTAATGCTTCATCCGACATCTACGAGTGCACAAAGAATTTTCAACAATTAAGAATCACGATTAAATTATAATGCCTCCAGAAAAAAAATATATCCATGTACTTACCACGAAGGAAGAAGCTATACAGTTACTAGCTTCAAGAGCCATCTTCCCACGAACAGCCTGAGAACCACCATTCAAATTTTGCGATAAATATATCGCCCCAAATGTAATGACTTAAATTCGTATAAACCAGCAATACAGTACAGAAAATTCATAGAACTTATAATAGGAAAAAAAAAAAAAAAGAATTAAAGACAAGTTTACCACAGATGACTCTTGCATCACAACATTTACAAGGCCCTGAAGAATAACGCCAGACAACGACAGGAGTTCTTGATGATATGACGGAACATCAAAATATAATTGGTAATTACTAATTACCTGAACATAATTTAAAAAAAAAAAAAAAAAAAAAGCAGTTATGGTTAATAGATGAGCAATACAACCAACATGTATTTGAATATGATTGCAGATTGAGCAAGAGATGAGCGAGGCTACACTAGAATGTTCCAAGACAATGTATAGACTGACATCCAAAATGCAGAGGATATATTTAGTTATTATATAAAAGACGTGCACGGTATCATGGATGGAAATTAAACTAGTTATAGCCTTATAGGTGCACTCAGCTATTGAGGAAGTCAGAAGGAGGCAAAATACATGTCTTTCCGTTCTGTAAGAACAAGAAAATGGAGGGAAGGGAAACGAGAGAAGTGAGGCAATCCCTTTTTTTCTATTATAAACCAGATAACACAGTGGGTTACCGAACACCCCCATAGGAAAGGATTGTAACCATTTAATCCCTATCCCTATAGAAGCCAAATGTATCGTAAATATAGGTTTACGGCTCAGTTCCCTATGGAATTTATTTCCCCATGATCTATTAGTCCTATAGAGGTTTTTCCTGTGTTCTTTTTTTATTATTTTTTATTTTATTTTTTTATCTATGCATGTGTAGTTAGGAAGTCTGCTAACAATCTAGCAGAATTACCTGTCCGCTGACAGCATGGTACGGGAGTTGATTCTGAGATAATGCTGCTGACAAGTAAACAACCGAAGATAATACCCTGATCTTCATTCTGGGCAATATCCTGCGATATGTATCAGGAAAAGATGAACACCAAAGAAAGAATGAAATCTAAGTTCTACAAATAAATTGATGGAAGCATCACCATGACTGGGAATCTATGAGAGACAATATATGCTTGGGAATTCTGGTCACTCCATGTTCAAGGCTACCTTCAGTGAGAAACGATGCAAGGAAAATTAAAGAGATGAAAATTTCAAAGCTACTTCCAGTTCATTCAAGACAGACCTACATCACTACTGTTACAAATAAGTGTGCACAGTTGATATGCAAAAGTAAGTAAAAGCAACCTAATTTCTGTGGAGTTTAAAAAATATAACAATAGGGAGAAGTAAGACCTGGAACCATCACCAACATGCAGCATAACTTGCATAATAATGAAACGAGCAAACTGAGATCTTCCGTTGACCGCGTGCCTACAGGAAGTACACTGATTCAGCTCTTAAACTTTGTATTAAACCAGTACTTGAAATAAGATATGTAATAAAGGCGCAGTAGTGCAAATTTTCAGTTACTAAACATGGAAAGGGATAATTAAGGGATACAGCAAAAGAACTCAGGTCAACTGATTGTATAAGTGACATGCGTATTCTGTAATGGGTATTAAGCAACAATTTTCACGATCATGCTACGAAACACCATAAAATTTTCCTATCACCTGAATATCAACTCTTAGAAGTGAAGATCCTTTTTTCAGTAAAATTCTGTCAGGAAAATATTAGTAACTGCTGTATTTTATGGTGAAGGAAGTTATCTATCTAACCGTTGACTGGGTCTACATTTGGCAAACAATTTACTGCTGCATCTATAAGTCCATCTGTGTGAGAAATAAAGCCACCCAGTAGTGCAACCTGATAAATAGAAAGATAAAGGGATTGAAGAATATGATGACAAGGATATGATAGCAAACTTTACTGAAGAAGAAATTGGACCTCGGCAGTTTCAAGATACAAGTTCAACTGTCTCAAGTTAGAAGGGATAGCAGGTATAGTAACTTCATTGAATGCCAGACACGATTTGATAAAGTTACAACTATTCCCATCTCTCATTGCTCTAATGGCTAAGTTGTTGCTGGAATGAACAAGAATTTCCTGCACTTTAGAAATAATATATACGAGATTTTTATTTTATTTTATTGTTATGCAAGCGCAGTATAGCAAATTGAAATTATCAACCTGTGAAGAATGTGAACAAGTCCAAACAAGTAAACAGACTAAAACATGAATGTGAGTTTGTTCAACTAAAACATCAAGATCTTTAATTAATTTCATCTGAATTGATTGACCAAGCTATTGATGAGAATCGTAATGAGAGTACACAAAAGAGTAACAACAGAAAAGGTACGAGACCTGGAGTTCACTAATGCTAGAAAAAGCTCCACGGCATTGAGCAAGGAACCTTAAATGACTTTCAAGCTGTGTACCATGGTCAACCTAAGAGTAACAAGCGCAGATCTGTTAGCAACTAATTCGTACTAAAGTCATAGCCATTGTTATTGAGTTACAAATTATTGAGAAAACCTTTTTACACCTAAAAGTAGGTTACCATATATACAAAGCGGGCTATCACATGAGAAGGGTGTTGATAATCATCTTTTCTCATATTTGAGAAGTCTAAGCCATCATATAAGGCCTGAGCAATTTCAAGTAGAACTTCAATGACAGTTGGATCTCGAATTTGACTGTTCCTGTAAACGTTATCAGTAAACTAAGCTCCCAGTGAACCAAAAAAAACACACTAGAAACTCAGTGATACTTATCTATAATATAATATAAGAAATAATGCAAAAAAATTGGAAATGGTGTTTGTTAGTAAGTCGCACAAATTCACACAGAAATACTGAAGAAAAAACAACTAAAGCGCAAAACAAGATACATTCTTCAGCTAACACTACAACTAAGAACAATTTAAGCATGGAGGCTTAAGTTCATGCAGTACTGCTCCACATGATCCAGCAGTTCTCTCTTCAGAACTCATTTATGAGTTATATTCACCGCTTTTGTTTTACGGCTTTGGCTCGAAATTTGTTAATAATTTATAAGAATGAGAGCATGCAAATCTGCCTAACCAATGCTTGTACGCGTCAATGACAGAAAACTAAATTGCACTCATCTTGATCAAATAAATACGAAGGAGACATGGTACCTTGCTGCCATACTGAGAATCTGTGTACTGATAACGTTTCTTGAGCTCCCGCGCATCATATCCAAGATGTCAACAAAATGGTTCTACAAAAGCATAAAATTTTAATGCGAGTCAGTAAAATAGATTATAAGAATCCCATGCCACAAGACCATAATATAGTGTAGTCATGAGATACAGAGTTTCTGATTCAACTAATTAAAAATAAATGGGGAGCTGGAGAAATGTCATCAGCAACAAAAGCAGCCATTATTTCACAGAAGAAAATCCTGCGCTGTACAACAATTAAATTTAAACTAGGTCAGAAGCATACCAGTGCTAATATGTGTTCTATGTTGGCAAAATGATCAACAATTTTCGAAAAAATTGACTGCAGGATCACCAATTCATTTTCACCAATCTTCTCGTCCCGTACACGTTCAAATATTCCATCCAGTATAACATTTAAGGAAGTACCCTGAAAATGGATCGGAGTGAGGGAGTTGTCTCCTCTAAGTCATCCAGCACTATAAAGATTCAAAAAAGAATCATCCTCGGGAATGGGAGCAAACGCATTCAAATCATAAGGAATTTGAAATTCCCAAGTTAAAAAATCAAAATCAAAATAGAAGTGAAGTTATTTCAAACAGATCTGTGAAGAACTACTAGAGATCAATCTTTAAAAAGTTTCCAATTTCTGGGGCTTCTCTAAAACCTATAAGAACGAGTCACCTTCACAGCCAGAATGGATCATGCAATCAGCTCATTTTATCTAGTCATAATGGCCGATAGAAACATTATCAGATAGCCATTCAAATCAAAAGGGACGAATTCATTTCCATTTTTTCTCTTTATCATCATTCAGCAAAGCGACAATTTTTTAGATATTATTCGATGACTTTATTGACATTACGGACTGCACCAGAGAATTATTAGGGAAAGAAATAGCAGTCTTTTTTTGGCAACTATGTCGAGAGATCATAAATTGCATATTCAAGTAGCAAGTTCGTGCATATACTTCTGAAGATGTTAGGCCAGTACCAAAAACATCTTCAGCCTTTATTTACCCCCATAGAACTGGCAGAACCAAATCAATTGCAAGAATAAAACACCCCAAATCCTTACTTTCTCTCGGCAACCGTGTCAGGAAATAATTTAAAATCAACACAATAATTTAATTGAAGAACAAAGATGAATATATAAGAATATTGATAAGATAAACAGTAAGGAATAGATATTTTATTTACTAAGCTTGAAATTACCAAGTGAGACTCCAGGATAATATCCAAATATGCATCTGCAACCATCAAGTATGCATCAAGGTTGTCATAACAAGAGAGAACCTGAAATGGTAGATGAAATTAAATCATCAATAATGGAAACCTGATAATAGAAAAGTTGAACAGTTTTAACTCACGAGTTGGAAAATAATACCTGTAAATATTAGACAAGTGAAAAATAGAAAAGACAAGCATCACATACAAAAGACATATAAATAGAACTTGAGGATTTTTTTCTGTCCCTTCTTTTCTACAGTTAAGGTGCATGAAGGATTAGGATTTAAATGAAGTTATATATCATATGAATATCAGGAGGCTCAGGGTGCAATTTCTAACGATTACATAAAACAGTCATCCAATTAAAAAAAGGCAACAGAAGAAAAAAAATGGGAGCATATCGAAAGATCTAATCTTGAACAAAATATAGGGAAAGCAGAAACCAGGAAGTCCCAAAAAATGCAATATGTCATCATGCAAAGTTAGCCAAAGCATTCTAAATAATACTATTCTACAAAGAATAATATAATACCTGAAAAATTTTATCCACTACCAAAAGGACCTTGCTCACTTCAGGTACCCTTTCACATAGCCTATGTCCAAGCAACTTGAAATTCAAAGACTGCATGCAAAATGTTAATATACCAGATAATAACTTCCAGAAGTGCATATGAAATACCACAAACACAAGATATTATTTTATGAAATGTTGAGACATGTACCTGAAGGAAAGAGCTATCTTTAGCACACTCGACCAGATGAAGTATTTCCAGTGCGTTGCAACAAATGAATCCAATTGGGAGTTCTTTCAGTACATAATGAAGGATAATCGAGACGCACGAGCAATTTTCGGACAAGATTGATGGGTTAATCCCCATGCCAAGTGCCAAAAGCATATCATTAATTTCCATCTGCCATAAAATATTCACGATCAATCATTCAAAATATTAGAGAAAGATAAACATTTTCAGAACGAAATCACATTAAATTAACTATTTTAAGATAAACTAAAACTGAAGGCATATTACTTTAAAGAAACCCATTCCTACAGGCCTCAATTACAAAATAGAGAGTGTTTAACAGGTACATTGAAAGATGAAGGATGGTTTTAACTAAAGATAAACACCCAACATCATCGTGAAAGCAAGAAGAACAGCATGACACAGAAGGGGAGAACTAGACTTTAAAGAGGCATGCATTCTGGTGTACCTATAATGAGCAAACACACAAACATAACCTTCTATCATACGCAGCCCGTCCCATTAAAATTATGGTGTGCCTAAAATCTGTAACAGAGACAAGGGTTTTAAGGGAAGTACGAATCCAGTGACACCATATACATCCAACCATATCAGTAGACCAGCAAAGTAGCAGAATATGAACATCAATCCGGCCTAACCTCTCTTAGATCCTTGAATAAGCATCTCATGATATATTCGATAGTGGGTTCAATCAGGGTAAGAAGTACTTCACTGGTTCCAGAAAGGTCCCTATCCACGGCCTCTCTCGCTGGTGTGAGGCGCAACAACAGCAGTTTTATATCATTAATGCAAGTGATCAGAAAACCTGTCACAAGATGCAGTTTCAATTGCTAATGAGATACATGAAACTTTAAACAAAATAAATGGAAAGTGAATATAAAGAAGAAATCTACAGAGAACACATAGAGGCGCCCATTTTACACATGCATAAAGACAAAAAATTAGCACCTGTATCATGTTCTGGCAACCTTTGAGCACATTGAACCAAGTACAAGCGGCAATATGCCGATGCTAGTGGATCAGCAATGCCCCTCGTCATCATAACCAAACGTTGAAGCACATCTTCATGATGATTGTCAAGGAACCGCCAGCAAGGCAATATTGCAAGCTCCAAATAGCTGCAGAACAATAATTAGAAAATAATTCAGGCCTGGGAAAAATTAAGAACATAAAGGTCATACAAATAATGAAGATAAAAGATTAGGAACTGAAACTTTCGATACTGGTCAAACAAAGCTTTAACATGTTTCATCTCTACAACCCTGGAAGAGTTTAAAAAGGCCAGGAGAAAAGTATTTTAAAATAGCACATTTTGTAATTTCCTTCATAATTGAATTCAGACAACTGCTCCAATTCCTTGTGCGAGTGCTTGACATCCAATGATCAAGACAACTTTGGAAGCAACAACGACCAGAAAATTGTTGAAAATTCTACCAATAATGAACAAAATGACAAACCTTAATTCAAACATTAAATTGAATACATCAACTCAAATCTAGAATGACAAGGAAATGTTCAATACAAAGCCAATGCAGAATGCTACTCTAGTTTGTTATCCAATTAGTATACAGGTTATATAACTGATTCACCAAAAAAATAAATCTCTCATTGCCTGCATATTTAGAATTTTTTTTTTTAATTCTACAACTTCATGCTGTATGGATGTTGACTGACATTTATTTCACACACAACAGTTAATAGGGATACTTATCATAGAACTCACAGAAAGGAAGCACCAGATAGATCTTAAAGATATTGTTAATGCATACAGAAATAACGAGAGAACTAGGGGCTTCACATGCGAGGGAGTAGCTCACGAACAGAGCCAATTTTGCTGAACCAGTTATTGCAGGTTTCTTTGGCATCAAAGCATATATCACTCTCTTTGAAGTTATCTGCATACAACGAGAAGGCATGTATGGATTTTCAGCTTACAAATTTCGGGCTGTCTGAGTTACAAATGGTATCTGGAAAAAGGGACCATATATCTCAAATTTTGACTATATTTCTTGTTAGATCCAATTAATCCACACCACAGTGATCTGCAGTCTTTTACTAGATAAAATGTCCATGTCACTTATATAATACATCATGTTACCTCTCACCGGATATTTAACAACCATGACATTACTCCACAACCCAACCCCCCTTTCGAGAAAAGATACAAAAGGTTGACCTCTTATGTGTTCCGCTACAGAAGATTCTGTAACTTAAGCATTCATACAGCAATTTAAAATGATGTCATAGAAATGCAAAAAAAATATTAACTGACGCTCGTCAATCAAACTGAAACAGGGGTCTTCTTTTTTTCCAATAAAAGGTGAGTACCTTCTTGTGTACAGGAACACCTAAAACCATTATGTCACAGTCTAACTGTGTGTGCTTTGACTTAGTGAGTGTGAGCTTCAACATAGAGCATGAACGTGATCTTCGGAAGAGAAATTATGGAGATTAAAGAAAGTCAACGTTATAATACCAAAAACAAATAAGAAGTTAAATAGCCTTGTGACAAACCGGGTAAAGAGCATATATATCCCCCTTCTTCAGTGAACTCGGCTTTTCGCTTGATGCGGTTCCACACCAGATCACCAAGCAAGTCCATTATATCAGTGGCTAGAATAAAAAGGGTTGGATAAAATTGGATTACAGATGTTTCTGTTAGAAGCCTTGCAACCTGCAAATACATTGTTTCAAAAGAATGTAGTTAACGGATAAAAGGAAAAATAAAGAACTTCATATAACCCCCTGCCTTCTTCCTGGTCATTTATTATGACACTGTTACTGACCATTATTCCTCCAAGGAGGGTTGAGATCATCTATAAAACTCCCCTACCCACTACCTGATTTTAACTGTTCAAGGGGTTACTATTTTCACCAACTTGGTTCAAATTGGATAATTTAGAAACTAAAATCAAACAAATAGGACAAAATGGAAAAATTTCTTCTAGTCAATTATAAATATACATTGATAGTGATGACTTACATGCACACATATAGAAGTATGTGTAATAGAAACATGGATAGATAAGATTTTTTACATAAGTGGTTCGATTCGCCGAATATAACAAGACAAGAGGCCAAGTCAACCAAGGTTACTTAAGAGTTTAGGGATTTACTAGACCAGATCTTCACTATTGATCTTATTGTAAAATTTGATGTCAGCCATATAAATGGCTGACAAAGTGGCTAGCAAAAACAATGTTTCTTTTTTGAGATTGAAAGACCCTTGAATCAAAAATTCCCAGCAACATATGTGGTAACGCTAGATTTAAGGAAAAAAACTATAATACCCTAGCATTAATTCACCTTGATTGACAACCTTAAAGATGTTACACGATCATCAGCAGACCACGACCGATTGATTTCAACTTTGAGTTCTTGCAACTTTGAGAGACACTCCTGCTGGCTGATAACCTTCACGTCTTCTTCTTCAAACATTTTCTGATCATCCAATTCCCCTGAATGAAAATCTCACAATGATTCCCCAATTGATGCCAGTATCTCTTAACAATTATATGCAAGCAGCAACCAAAAGGAAAGAGAGAGAAATTAAAAAATAAAGATAGCAAAATATAGCAGACCTTTTGTACCCTTCACAAGCAAATTTGACCCCTGTTACGCGCAACATTAAGCAACTCGTTAATATCAGTCACTCCATCCAAAACACAAATGGTACTTAGAGTCTGTAGAATAAAATTGAATAATATAAGAATGTGTGGATATAGGTACCTACCATGGATACAGAACTTGATTTAGAAACAGGAAAACGTTGCATCAAAATTTTCTTAAAAGGAGTCCATTCCTTCCTTGCTCTCAGTTGAGCCGAGCTGTCACGGGGAACTGTCGGCTCAGAATTAATATATTGGTGCTGAATATCATCGGCCGATATTTCAGTTGTCCCATCCGTTGCCCTGAGTGGATCGGAGAAATCCTCTTTTCTACAGTTCGATTCATCCGCCTTCAATCCAGTGCCATTAAACTCATCACCATATAGAATTGGAAAAAAAAAATGAACGAACTAAGGCTAAATATACAAATCAGTAGGAAGTCAAAAAGCATTATGTAAACAATGAATTCGATAGAATCAACAGCACCACAGGCAATAATATGCGGCATTTACTTATTTTCTTAGTGATTCTACTCTACAATCGCAAGTTCTGCCTTGATGAACTCATATTTTCTTAATCTCTAACGGAATCCAAAAGTAGTGATGGCGATCTCTTTGTAGAAAATCATAATGAATATTGGTACATTTTTTTACGCGTACCTACCTGGAGAGGTGAGGGAGAAGGGGAGGAAAGAGGGTGATTGTCGGCGTGTGTTCGCCGGAGCAAGTGTGCCTGCTCTTCGGCTCTGTAATCTCGCCGTCTGAATTCAAGCCCCATCACTCGAGTTAGATCACCGTTCGAGAAACTAAACCCTGTAGTTTAACCTTTGACTCACGAGCCCTCTAGTTTTAATATAATCACTTAACTTCCTTATAGTTTGAACTCTCTGCACATAACCCCTTATATTTTTACTATAAGTGTATAACCCCTTACATTTTATTTGATAAATAATCATGTTCGACCATGATTTTTTTTAAATAAAAGGAATTATGTGCTTATATTAAAATATATGAAAATCGTGTGATGTATTAAAAATAGGAGAAGATCATGTGCACAAATTTTAAACCATAGAGAATAAATGTTATCTACCTTATTATAAAAATAACTTTGAGTAGATATAAAATGACTGCCTAAGTTTTGAAATTGCAGTGCTTTCTTGCACCCCTATTTAGTAATTTGATAATTGTGGAAGATGGATGTGTTAGCGAAAGTCGGTCGATTCAACTAAGAGGGGTTGGCTTTTTTTTAGTTTACAGACCATGATACATTGGTGTCAAGGTCAAAAGTCAGAAAACTAACGATGACAACAATAATGAAACAATTTTAAAAATAAAAGGGGTAAATTGATATAATTGAAAGTAAAAGGTGTAAGATAATCCCGATCGAGAATACAAGGTGGAAAGTGGAATTTGCCGAAGAAATTATGCCGGTTAACGTTGATGTCAAAACTCATCTATCTAGTAAGCTGATACAGAGGTTGAAACTGATTTTCGGCCTCCTATTTTCTGGGGTTTGTATTTTTCCATACATATATAAACATTGTGGAAAAAGAGTTTTAAAAAATTATAAAAAAAAAAATCCCGATCTACAATGGCAGCTCCGGCAGTGGAAGGCGCAACTGTGACGGCGCTACGAGCGGTGCTGCACCGCGTCAGGCTCGCGGCAGAGAGGTCCGGCCGCCGCGCCGATGATGTAAGGGTGGTGGCCGTGGGCAAGACCAAGCCAGCCTCCCTCATCGACCAACTCTACGACGCCGGGCACCGTCGTTTTGGCGAAAACTACGTCCAGGAAATTATTGAAAAAGCTCCTCAGGTTCGTAATCTTCTCTGACATTTCAATCGGAATTGAGCGGATTTTTGGATTATTTTGCTGATTTTTTTGGTGCGTGTTTTGGGTTTGCAGCTGCCTGAGGATATTCAGTGGCATTTCATCGGGCATTTGCAGAGCAATAAAGTGAAAGCGCTACTGAGTATGTACACAGCATTGATTCAGTGATTACTGTACTGCATTTTTCAATTCAATTATACAATTATACTAAGTGTGTAAAATCAATTCAATGATTTAATTATTTGTCTCGATTATGCACAGCTGCTGTTCCAAATCTAACCATGGTCGAGGGTGTTGATAATGAGAAGGTAAAACCGCTTAATTATGTGCTTTTTTTTTTAGTTCAAACATGGAAAAAAGCTTTTTCAGTCTGAATAAAAGCTGTTCTGGTTTTTTAATTTTTTTAACACAATACTTGATTATACTTTACTGTACGATATGATTCCGTACCATCATTTACTGGCTTAGTGAATTTTGCCTTTGATCTTGCTTTACATTAGATATTTTTGTTTTTGTTGTTGTTCTCCAATAGACATTTGATGATTATTCAATTTACTTTTGTTGTAAGTTTGACACAACTCCAAGATTAAACCAGTCACAGTGTTGCGGTGTTTTCCGATGCACAGGTCGCCAATAATCTTGATCGTGTAGTTTCGAATATTGGAAGGCAGCCTTTGAAGGTTTTGGTTCAAGTGAACACCAGCGGTGAAGTATGTGAGTAATGAATCATGTCGGATTTCAATTGCAATATTCCGTGGATAAGATTAGTTCGACCTTGAAGAAATATTATACAATTTTGACTTGTCCATGCTATTAAAGTCAGAATGGCAGATTGATCACATCATATTGCTTGCAAAAAATTCCTGATTGGCTTTAAAAGACTGAAACTTCCATTCTTTTGCTTGAACATGATTCTGGATATACACATTAATGTCGAACAATTTGAGGATGCTACTTCTAATTAACTTGCGAAATTTTAGGATTCTGTTTAAAGCATTTTTTTTATGAACCAAATCTTTGCATGGCACTGATTATCATGCATAATGGATTATACAGCGAAATCTGGTGTGGATCCATCAGAATGTTTAGATCTTGTGAAGCATGTCAAGCGAGGCTGCCCGAACCTCGAGTTTTCTGGATTAATGACAATAGGGATGCCGGATTACACATCAACCCCTGAGAACTTTAAGGTGATATTCATATTCCTCGTTGATTTTTTGCTCTCTGAGAACATACATATTCTTCTTTGTCAATGAGTTACTGTTTTCTTCCTAAATTAGATCTTAGCTCCCACACCCTTTTTGTTTTCTCTGGAATAAATAGACGATTTATTTGTAATTGTGACAGTTGCCTAAACGGTATTGATGTCTTGAGCTTTTTGACTCAATTGCTATGTGATAGACCATTGCGTTGAAGGTGTTATAATTAGCGAGTGTCTGATAATTCTGTCACTATTACACTCTGTTTATTCGTTATTCAGAATACTGATGGATAAATTTCGTTGCAATGCCATAGACTTTATATAACTGTAGAGCTGAGGTATGCAAGGCACTAGGATTGATAGAGTCTCAGTGTGAGCTGTCAATGGGCATGTCCGGTGACTTCGAGAAAGCGGTAAGCCTTTGATTCAACTTATGTTAATTTACTTTACTCTTTCACTTTTAACAAGTTTAATTGATGTTATAATTAGAATCAAAGGTTCACGTCTTCCTTGATTTCTCACAAGCAGATATTGTTTATAAATGTAGTATACATTTTTTGTTTGTGTCGTACACTATATGTGAAAAATGACCGAACTATGTGCAATTTGCATCTCAACTGGTATTATTCCATAACTCATATACAAAAACTGAGACGAGCTTTAACAGTTTCGTCATCTTTGCTTGGCGAGAGTGATGAATGTAATGCTACTTGAGATCAGACGCAATTCCAGGGCTATCTTTTTTTTTTTTTTTTTTGTCAATAAATAATTTCGGAGAGAGAAATCGGGGTGGATTATTGACATGGCAACTTTTTTACTGTTGTTTGGTGCCTGCAGATTGAAATGGGCAGTACTAGTGTAAGAATTGGATCAACCATTTTCGGACCAAGGGACTATTCAAAGAAGAAATGAGTTTATTATATGTTTGCACTGTATTAATATTCATTAGCTGGGATCCTACATTCCTACTATTGTATTATGGTGTAGCAAAACGGGTCAAAAAGAAAACCGGTTTGCGCTGTGTATATGCACGAGTATACTATAATGACGAATGTTTTGTAAATCAAATACCATGATAACTAAACGGTCTTGTGAGGATTTTGCGTATTTTGAGCAGTAGAGTACATAATAGCTCATTTATCGAGCTCGAACAAATAGTATTACTGGGTGAGAGGAGAGTTTGAATATCGTTATTAAGTCATACTGACTAAATAGGAGGACTAGCAACATGTTTGATTTGTAATTTTCGAACTAATTTAGAGCCACAATAAATATTGAAGCCCCTATTTGAATACTACTATTCATAAAATTAGTAGTGCCCATCTCTCGAGTTTTATAGCCATATTGACTAAAAATGACGATTTTATCCCTAAAACATAACAAAATGTAACTGGATTATGAGTAAATAGCACGTCGCCCCATGAATTATACTTAATTGCACGTTGCTCCTCAACAATGTCTTTTTTACATGTTTTTCTCTCAACTCAGAAATTTTATGGAGTAAAGATGTTTAAGATTGTTCATATATGTAGTATATAACAGATGGAAGTATTTTAACACACCAAGTTCTAACCACTAACACCAACAACATTTTTTATATCTTACAAATCCTGTATTTTATGATTAATAATATTTAATTAAAACAATTTGTAAATCACATTCCATTATTTATATACATAATAAATGTACATTATAAAAAAATGATTAATAAATAAATTAAATATTTAATAATTACTATCTGAAAAAAATAATATTAACTATTGTTATAATCAAGACACTACTAAAGTTTAGCTTTTGATACTTACTAATTAATTTTGACAATATTCAGAATTAATTTTTTTTGTGAGAAAAAGAAATTCAAATCTCCAGAGGCCCATATTATTTGCTGGTCTGATTCAGATTCCAGTAGGCCCATGATAGGGCCCATGACCCAGAGTACAAATATACCTTTTTCGTGAGTGCTGACGTGGAGCTAGACACGTGTCAACGTGATTCGAAATTGCAACGGAAACACTGTATAGCTTTTTTGCCCCCATCCCCTTTTTTTCATCGACAAATAACTCCAAAACCCTTCACTGAAGAAATACACAGAAGAAAGAAAAAGAGTGAAAAAAAAAAGAAAAAAATGGCCGATAAATCCGTCCCCGTCAACTCCGCCGCCGCCGCCACCACCACCACCACCCCCATCTACGTCCCTTCCTCCGCCGCGTCCCCTACTCCTCCTCCCATCCCCGCCCCCTTCCCCACTCCAGTCCCAATCCCCGCCCCCATTCCTTCCAACTTTATTAGTTCGTCGTTCACTTTTCTGACCGACAGGTCTTTCCCATCCTCCCACCGAGGCGCCGTCGCGCCTCCACCGTATGTTCGTCCCGGCCATTTCGTCGGGGCGCCGCCTTCAATCATTCCCCCAGCAGAATATCGAGAAGCCAGCCGGGATGATCTAGTGAGGTCGGTTCAAAGGAACATCCTCGATCTCATGGACCCTGAACTCCGCGGAACTCCTCTTGGTGCAAATCTGCCCTGTTTCGAAAAATTTCCTCCCC